CCCAGGAAGAGCAGTGGCCCCATCCCATCCCACCACGGGCAGCGAGCCGCTTCCACCCTGCGGAGGACAAAGCCTGCGGTCCACGGCTGGCATGCGGCAGGCTGGGAGCGCGGGGCCGCATCCTGCCCGGAGAGCGAGGCTGTGATTCACATCCCCCCGCCGTGAATCACCGCTGCCCCTGCGCCCCCACGGGTCCCGCTGCTGCCGAGACAATGCGGGCCATGCTCGCGGGCTCCCGAGGGGGCCGAGACCACCGAGCCCCCCAGCGCTGGCTGCAGGAGAGGGGGGCTGGCGGCGAGGTTGGGGGTCCCCAACCCTGAGCGGGTGGGAGAGGGGCTGGATCCCTTCCACCCGGTGCAGCCCCAGGCGGAGCCAACACCAAGAGGGAGAGAGGCTGGGGAATTCGCCCTCCAATAATCACAAACAGGCTTGGGGGGCCGGGCGTGTTTGGTTAATTGTTAGAATAAAATATTGCCGAGCTCTGACAAAGAAATCCTGCCCCGCAGCCCGGCGCGGCCGAACAATGGGCTCCGGCGCAGGATGCTGCGGGCTGAGCAGTGGGGCCAGGGGCTTTGGGGGCGGGAGGCAGCTCGGTTCCCCCTTCCCCAAACGAGCCCCAGAAGCCACTCATCTTCTTGGCAGCTCAGTGTGGATGTGTCCCACGGCGGTGTGGAGCCACCGGAGCGGGGACCGGCCCGGCCCCTCAGCAGTGCCCGGCTCCCGCTGGGGGAGAGCCGCCGGGACCGGCACCCGCCCGGGGAGCCGCGATCGCATCGGGCCAAACCGGCAGCGCCCACCTCGAGGCCTGCGGGTTCCGATGGCAGCCCCGGCACGAGGAGAGGGGCACAGGGTCAGCGGCACCGGGGGCTGAGAGACCCTGTCGGGAAGCAGCCGTGGAGAGGAGCCCCATGCACAAGCGTTCACACACCTGAAATCACACACACGTGTGTGCACAGCCCTGCACACATTCACAACATCCCAGGCGTGTGCCCAGACACGCATGTATACACACACACACACACACAGTGTGCTCAAGCACATACACATATGTGCACACACACGTACATGTGATGCACGGGCACACATGCACACACACATCTGTGCACACACATCCCAGCACTCGCTCACATCCACACGCAGGCACGGTCCCGAGGCTGCGAACCTCTTGCTGTCGGAGACAGCGGAGCAGCCGCTTTCCAGCATCTCCCAGCCCTTCCCGGCGAGGATGAGGACGCAGGCTCCCGCTGAGCAGCCCGCGGCACCCAGCAGGGGAGCGAGCAATGAGGGCGCAGGGAGGGAAGCACACCCGGAGCCGGGCCTGGGCACACCCCGCCTCCCGGCTGGCATGTCCTGGCACGGGCACCCTGGCACGCCGCGGCACAATCTGGTCGGCAGATGCTCCAAAAACAAGCAAGAGGCCCAAGAAATGATGGGGGCGGGGGGTCAGCGCTTTCCCACTGCCCACAGGGGCTTGGGCGCCTGGTGACCCACGGCCAGGGGTGCTGGGACCCACCTGGGTCATGGCACAGCTCCATCAGCCCCAGTCCCCGCCACCCCTCCTCCCTGAGACCCTCTGCGCTGTTCTGCCTCTGGGTGTGCTGCCCAGAGCTCCCCGCTCCTCCAAATCAGTCTCTCTCCAAAGGATGGAGCAGTCAGATATTTTGCAGAGCCTCCAGCGTTTATCACACTGTAAATCTGGGCTTTCAGCAGCTTCACGAAGCTGCAGGGAGATGGGAGAGAACAAAATGCTGCTCTGCTCCATCAGACACAGCCTGAGTGTGCCAGGGCTGCCAGGGGTTGGGTCCCCAGTCCTGCTGCAGAGAGAGTGAAGATTGAAGCAGAGGGCTTATGTGGGCAAGGGTCCCGCAGAGCCAAGAGGGGCTGCTGGCAGCCCAAGATGGTGATAGCTCGGGGACAGCTGCATTTCAGTGGGACACTGGTGGTGAGGAGGGCTGAAACATGCTTCTGTGGAACCACAGCAGCCCCTGTCCCCCAGTATGGACCCCTGGCAAAGCTCCCCACACACAGTTCTCAGGCACTCCCCGGTGTGGACCCGCAGCACAGCACCTGAGCATTACACCCCTGTACAGGCCCTGGGCTGCACCCCACTCTGATCCCCCCTCACTGTCCCCCAGAACAGTGCCCCCCGCGCTGGGCTCTGCTGGCCTCTGAGCTTAGCCCCGAGCCGGGCTGGGATGCAGCCCACTGGTCCTGGCAAGGAGCACCAGCCCCCATCCTCGCCCCTATCCCTGTCCCCGCAGCCACTCCACCAACCCCCAGCTCCCAGCGGGACCCTGCTGGGATTGCAAAACAAGCGGGGAGGGGAGGAAGCAGAGATTGTGCTGCTCGCACAGTGCTCGGATGCATCTGGCAGAGCGAGCACAGGGCACAGGACAGGGTCTGGGCCAGGAGCCCCCAGCCCCTGCATCCCCTCAGCTCCAGCACCCATGTGCAGCCTGTGCGGCCGCAGTGAGGAGGGATTTGCACAAAGGCTCACAGGGACCCCGGGCAAGGCAGGGGCTGGCTGGGCTCTGAGCTGCTGCCAAGTGCCTGGCACAGCACGGGGGGACTGGGGGGCCTTGGCAGCGGCTGGAGCCACATCAGAGCGGCCCCCCCGGAGCAGCCAGGAGCGCGCGGTGCTGCCCTCGAAGGAAATGCTCTCACTCCCATGTGCTGCACACTTGGGTTCGCCTCGCTGCTATTTTTATTTGACTTTTCAGGGCCTGTTTCCTTTTTCCGGCTGTTTTTGCCGTGATTCCACCATCACAACGACCTCGTTTTTCCCCCTCCCTCCCTGTTGCTTCTTCCTTCACTCTTTCCTTCCTTTCCATGCACTCATGCCCACTGGCACACCAGGTTCCCAGCAGCAGCTGCCTGTGAGTGAAGGGTAGTAAAGGGAGGTGGGTTTTGCTCTGGTTTATCTGGGAAGGTGCTGACAGGTCACTGGAGGGGGACTTTGCTCCAGCCTTGATAAAGAGAAGGGCTATGAGTCACTCTGTCCCAAGCCATCATCCCGATCCTGCTGGTGCTTGAGCTGTCAGGTCCTGCTGTGGCCCCCTGCCACATCCACGGGATATCAAGTGTCAATAGGGCTATTTTGGGATGCTAGTGGTTTGTGGAGGGATGGTGGTTGGGATAAGGGAGGAGGAATAAGAAAAAAACCTAGGAACTGAACCAGTGCAAAACCTCCTGCGGGGGCAGCAGAAAGGGCAGTGCTGGCTCCCGAGGAGGAGGATGGAGCTGAGAGGAAGGAGCCCAGGCACTATGGGGCCAGCCAGGGGGGAGCACGGCACCAGGAGGCCTCTGGCATTGGGATGTGCTGAGCTGTGGCTCCCTGGATGGCCCCTGGTGCCAGGCAGAGAGCATCTTCCAGGGACCCCACAAGAGCAGCATCCCCAGGCTGCACCCCCAGCTCTGAGCCCCGAACCAGGGTCCCTGTCCTGCCCCATCAAATCAACCAGTCCTGCCTGCACCCTGCTCCACCCAGGGACTCTGATGTGCCCAGGGCAGGGAGGGCTCTCACCCACCCACCCCTGCTTATGAAGCCCTCCCAGCGCCTCCCAGCCCAATTCCCAGAGGCAGGGGGTGGGCAAGAACCCCTGAGCATCCCTTGCCTTTCCCTCCCTGAATCCCCCGTTCGTAGTTTGAACTCCCAAAAACCCTCAGGGAAAGCCGCCCCCCACCTCCTCCGGGGAATGAGGGGGTACCCCACTCACTGGCAGCGCTCAGTGCCCCCCTGGGCACAGCCCTGCCCGGACCGGGCTCGGTGGCCGAGGCTCAGCCGGGACGAGCCCGGCGAAGCTGGTGCGGCCACGGGAACGCACGGCGCGGGCTCCGCTCAGCACACACAGCCCGCTGCTGCCATCTCGTGTCCTCCACAGCCCCCCAGCGCCGCGACAGCCACGCGGGCAGGCGGCCTGGGGAAACTGAGGCAGGGGCACACTGCAGGCCCTCCTAGCTGTCGCTCCTTCCAAAAAAGCAGCGCCTGGTTTCCACACCAGGGATGCAGATAGAGTGAGCAGAGGAAGGATGCCGCTGTGCCCTCCACTGCTGCGGGCTTCTGCCTGGGCTTCCACGGGCCCAGCACCATGGCCAGACCCAGCACTGTGCCAGCTCCATCCGCAGCACAAGAGCCCCTGGATCACCAGATAAAGCACCCAAAGTACTTCCAGGGAAGAAGAGGTTTTATTTCTGGCTTCCCAGAGGCTGTTTGCCACCCAACAAAGCAGTGGAGGCCACAAGCAGAGTGCTGGCAGAGCACAATGACAAGGGAGAATGCCCTGACAAAGGAGGATGCCCTTCACTTCACCTCACCCCACCATTCCCTCCGTGCTGGGGCACCCACAGTGCCAAGAAGCTGGGTCCCTCCACAGTGCTGCCTGTCACCAAGGCTGAGCCTTGGCCTCAAGCCCCCACACTGCCTGGCATTTTTGGATATCAGAACCCTCCAGGCTTCCCCAGGTGCCCAATGATGCACCTTTTCTTCCCTGTCCGCTGTGGGTGCCCGGCTGCTCTGCACATCCCAGCAGAGCCTCAGGGACGCCTGTCCCCATGCACAGCTCCAATAACCTCAGAGCCTTGCAGATGCACTGTGGCCTCACTTCCAACAGAGCCCCCAGAGCCATGGCCCCACATGTCCTCTTTCTGCCCCAAAACACACCCATTGTCCTCAAGAGAGCAGCAGGTGCTGCAGGGCCGGGAGCGAGCAAGAATCCACACCTCACCTTCTCTTTTGTGCTCTTTCCCTTCTTCTCAGTGTTTCTGGTGTTCCAGGGGTCTGCCACAGCCACCCCATAGCACACCAACCTGCCAGCCCCAGCCAGGGGTGGTGGCTCCAGTGCCTGGGAGCCGCTTGGAGCAGGAGAATGAATTCAGCTCGGGCATCTGCTGGCAGCAACCTCTCCACCCTCAGGGCTGAGTTTATCCCAGGTTCCCAAAGGAGCCACCGGCAGCCCTGGAGCTGGAGCAGCACATCCCCGCGGCGTGCGGCGAGGGCGTCCCTACGAGTCCCAGGGCGCCTGGCGGGGTGCGTGCAGGGCATTGAGCTTCTCCCAGCAGGTCGCCAGCCTCTCCGCCTTCCTGCCGATCTCCCGCAGCCGCTTCCTCCTGCGGGCGGCTGCCCCGCGCCGCGCCGGGGCCGCGCCGGTGCGCGCTGGGCTCTGCGCTCCGTGCGCCGGGGGAGGCGGCAGAAATCCCCCCCACATCACAGACACATTAGTCAGGGACAAAAGGCACCAAGGCTCTGCACAGCTGAAGTGGCCAAACTGCCTACGGCCACGGCATGGACGTGGTCTCAGGTCCCCAAGGGTCCCCAAAGGTGGCTGCCCCTGTCTGAGCTGCCCACGGACACCAGGTAAGATCTCCAGAGCAGCAGCAGCAGCTCCATCCCACACCAGCAGAGCTCAGGCAGGGCTGTCCCCAGCCGATGTCCCCAGTGGCAGTGACAGGGAGGACAGTCCCAGCCCTGTGCCAGGGTCAGGCAAAGCTGGGAGCTCATGCTCTGCTGCCCTTGGTTTTCCCTGCTGGTTGCTGCCACAGGGATCCTCCTGGACGAGGTTTCCCCAGCAGAGCTTTGGAGATGCCAGAGGAACCCAGACCAGCCCTTAGGGGAGAAATCCCACTTCTTGCCTATAAGCACTCAGGATAAAGAGCAGGACACGGTGAATGCACCCACAGGGTGCCCATCCCACCAGGACAAGGCCTTGTGTTCCCCTCAGCCATGGCATCATGGCACATGTGGAAAAACCCACTTGGGAGCCAGTGGCAAACCCCCACCAGCCTGGCCCACAATGCCACAACTGAACTTCCCTCCCTTGGTTATTCTGAAGCTCTCGGGGATGGATGTGCAATCAGCATTCCCCAGCTCCTGAAGTGAAGCAGGCAGAGCCTGGAGACTCCTCACGGGCAGCCAGGAGAGCACAAAACAGGGCAAGCTCTACCCACAGCCCTGGGAACGGGGAATCACTGATGTGGCTGGGAAGGAGAAGGCTTCCTACCTTGCTGATTTTCCTGCAGTTCTCCCGGAGCACGAAGTTGGTGTTCCTGGCCACCCTCCAGACCGCCAGCTCCTCGGGGCCCTGCGGGGTGCCAGCCCCCACCTCCCGCAGGGACATGCTGATGTTGTAGATAGACAGCAGGATCTTCTGGTCCTGCAGAGGAGAAGCACAGGGCCCGGGCAGGGAGGGAGGCTCCGTGGCTCCCTGGGGGCTCAGCCCACGCGATGCCCCAGCCCCGGCTCCCTCCGTGCTCACCTTGTCTGAGCGACAAGCAGGCCCGGCCCTCCCGCTCCTGTACGACCCAGTCAGGTTTCTCTGGAGAAATAAAGCAAGAAGATCCAGCAGCTCACAGGATGGGCGCTTCCCACTTGGAGCAAGGATCCCCCAGTTAAACACAACCCTTCCCCAGCACTGCTGGCAAAGCAGCCAGCTCCATATGAAGCTTCCCTCCCCACATCCCTCACCAGGGCTGCACCCAGGGTGCAAGTCTGGGCCCCAGGCAGAGCCCTGCCTCGGCTCACCAGGTTCTGGATCTCATGGAAGATGACGGCGCGGTACTGCCGGAGGATTTTGGCGATGCTGCACCTCCTGCCTCTGCTCAGCACAGCCACCAGCAGGAGCAGCAGAACAGCACAGGAGAGCACCCGGGGGAAAATCTGCCAGGGAAGGGCTCAGAGTCAGCTGGGGATTAAGGAACGTTCTGGGCTCTGCCTTCAACCCCTAGCCAGAAGCTCCATTGGACCTGTACCTGAAGATGCAACATGTGATGGAGGAGCCTCAACTGTCTCCTCTCCCAAAAAACATCCTCCCAGATCTCCCCCTGGGGCAAAGCCCTTGGGAAACTGCTCCAGCTTCAGCCCAGCCCAGCAGCACTGCCCATGGCACACACAGAGCTCTCTCTCGTGCCAGCAGGTGGGTTCTTGGCACAGAGCTATGCCAGGGGCCTGTGTCAGTCTGTGGGGCTCATCCCTGAGCTCTCTGTCCCAACATGGTTCCACTAGATCCCCACTTTGTGCCATTTCAAGGCCAGAGAACCTCAGCACCAAAACCCAAGGGGAGCAGAGAGGGAGGTGCTGTGCTCCTTGGAGAGGAGCTGGAGCAGGAGCTGCCTGGTCCTCAACAGCAACATCCACACCTCAGCTCAAATGGATCCAAATACCCTCCAGAGGATGCTCCCACACTTCTGCTGTATGGATGGAACTAATACAGCATTTTTCCAGCTTCCTGCAGCTCAGGCTCATCCCAGGCTTGAGGGCCTCACCACAAGCAGCACAAGCATCTGCTCTCACCAGCACATCCCAGCTGCTGCTGAGCCTCCTGGCTCCAAACCTCCAACAGCCCCGTGCTGGCCCCTGCAGAGCGGGGAACCCCAAGTGCTGACACCTGAGCTGGCAGAGGGGCACAGGGAGGGGGTGGATGGACCCTCCGAGGCAGGGATGAATCCCACAGCTTTGAAGAAAAGCCAGCACAAGCTCAAGTGACCAGGACTGGGGATATTTGAGCAGCCCAGCAGCAGCAGAGTGAGGATGGCGAGCTCAAAATCTGTTCCAGGAAAGGAACCCAACAGCTCAACACGTCTCCACATTCTGAGTGATGGCACAGCCTTGGGGCCCCATCCTGGCATTTCTATCATTTCACATTTTCAGGAAAAGTCCCCCCCAAACACAACCCCCTCCCAAACAACCCTCATGCTGCAGGTGTCAGGTCTGGGCAGGCAGAAAGCAGCTCATCTCCTTCCAACTATGCAACCCCTGTGCTGCAGCCAAAGCGAGGGGGAAGGGGCCACAGCTCTGCCTGCAGCCTGTGCCTGCTGCTCCCCACCCCAGCTCAGGGGTCACTGCCTTCCCCACCACATCTGCACTTGCTCTTCTGCTCCAAGAAGCCAGAAGGAAGAATTTCCCTCACTGAATTCCAAGCCCAGGCACACTCCATCTGTCCTCTTTGGTGAGAACCTGGGGGCTTTATTGGTAAAATCCATACCTGCTCTGTGCTCCCTACTTAACCCTGAGCTGGACCTGGCTCCAAAAGGGTAAGGAAACCTTTTCCCATCCTTTTGCAGCTCAATGGGAGTGATGGAGGCATAACATGAGGCAAAAGTCAACACAACACAGTTCTGGGAACACAAGGACACAACCATCACCTCAGAGCATGGGCACATGCAAAGAGAGGAGCAAACCCAGGTATAACCAGCAGAAATCCCACCAGGCTCTTCAGCATCCCTCATTACCACACACCTTCCAGCAGAGCTGTGCTGAGCTCCACCTGGGAGCTGGGAAGGCCAGGGAAAAGCCTCTTTGTGCTGCTAGCTTTGCTCCCTGCAAACCACTGAGAGATCTTGCCCCAGAGGTGATTAAGTAGAGAGCCAAGGGTATAATCAAAGGAGAGCACTGCTTCCATGAGGACACCCTGACCAAAGTCTAAGGGTTGCTCCCCAGAAGTCTCCTCTGCCAGGAAGGCAAGGCTGTGCAATTTCACCATGAAAATGGGAATGACTTCCCCGAAGTGCTTTATTAAACTGGGACCCAGTTTCAGGAGAAAGCACATCATTTCCAGCATTCCAAGATGGCCAAGCCTGGGCTCAGTGCTCAGCCCAGATGGAAGTGCAGAGTAGTCCAGGGAACAGCCAGGGCAGGAGGTCAGTAGGTGCTGTAGGTGCTTCCTCCCACCATGGAAAGCAGGAAAGCAGCAGTGACAAGAGAGGGATGCAGGGAGACTGAGGTGGCAAATCCTCCTCCTGACTTCTCCTCTTTCAGGATGGAGGAGAGCAAATTCAGCAGCTGATTTAGGGTTATTCCTTCTGCCTTTGCCCCCATCCCACAGCAACAAGCTGCAGGCAGGTGGCACATCCCTTCCTAGGGCAGAGCTGGCAGTGACGGAGCAGCCTCGGGAAGGAGCAGCCTTGGGAAGCATGGGTGCAGGACAGGCACAGCTAATCTCATCCTCACGCTAATCCTCCAGCAAATACCAGGAGATAAGGGGAATCACCATTGTTGATAGAGCAGCTCCTGCTGGCACTCCTGCCAGTCCCAGCCAGCAGGGCAGCAAGGGGCAATTCCTGCTGCCAGCCTGGGAACCCCACCGGGGTCACCAGGTCCTTCCAGCCAGACAAACTCTGTCCCTGACTCCCTCCTACCCAAAGGGACTCTGTCACCACCCAGAGCCCCAAGGCAGGGACAGACCCTCCGTTCTCTACCTCAGGACCAGCCAGATCCAAGCCCCATCCCAGTGAGGTCTAAGCCTCATCCCAGACACAGCAGCCTGATCCCAGCTGGACCAGCTTCCCCAGCCAGACACAAGCCCCTTCCTCACGGGCTCCCAGCTCTGTCCCATCGCGACCCTTCTAAAGATCCAAGTCCCATTTGGACCCAGCCCAGCCCCATTCCAGCTGCTCCAAGCCCTTTCCCAAGTGGTCTGGCCCCATCCCGAGCAGTCCGACCCCCTTCCCGGACAGACCGGCCCCTCTCCCGGCGGATCCAAGCCTCATCGCAGGAGAACCAGTCACCTCCCGACAGGTCCCAAGTCCCAGCCCGGGCGAGCCGAGCCCATCCCGCAGCGCGGCGGGCTCCGGAGGGTCAGCGGGCTGCGGGGAGGGTGTCCGGAGCAGAGGCAGGGGTCCCGGGGCGAAGGGGGTGTCCCGGCGCACTCACCATGGAGCCCCGCGGGCGCGGCCCCCGCGGCGGTCCCGGGGAGCCCGGTCCGGCCCCGTCCCGGCCGCGGTTTGAACTTGGCTCCACGGTGGGAGGGGACGGGCCCGGCCCCGCGGGGCGGCCCCGGCCCCCCCGGCCGCGCAGAGCCGTGCCCGGCCGGCGGGGCCGGGTGCGAGAGGGAGCCCTGCCCCCGAGGGAGCCCCTGCTCGCACCCACCCGCGGGTTACAACCCACGCGTGTCCCTCGCCCGGAGCTGCACGCCGTGCGGCAAACCCCCGCAGTTTCGATTTCTGTTGGCGTGGGGCGATTCTTTCACTCTGCACTCACAGACCGCAGTGGGTGAACACCGACAGCGGCACCGACCCACGGCAGAAGTGACTGTCCAGGGTGAGACCCCCAAAATATCAACACGAAGAGTGTCCTAGTGCTTCCAACCAAAGCCCTCTCCTCCTTCCCCTCTGCATTTTGTACCTAACCCCGAGCCCAGGCACAGAAATTGCCCTGACTTGATTCCTATCAATTTTGGGAAAAACTGAACTGACTGCAACAAGGCTCCACTGAGGAGCTGAATGTGGGCGATTGAGTAAGAAATAGAACAAATGGTGAACAATCCAGCTCTGCTCAGCTTGGTGAGAACGTCCCTCCCCAGGAAGTGGGACCAACAGCACACTGCAGCATTCCACTGGGACAGGACCCATATAACTTCTTTATTGAGCTCTATATATAGTTAAAATTCATGGGTGCCATAATCCATTTAAAAACCACCAAGACATCTACAAACATTAAAAGGCTCTAAGATTGATGGTCCCTTTTAAGTAAGAAAAAATAATCTCCAAGCTAAGTAATGTAGCCCAAAGGAAAGGGAAGATGCAGGTACCAAGAGCAGGTGGCCAAAGGAACCTGATGTTGTGAGAAGATGGCACAGTGTACAGCATAGGGCTCCTTCCTTGGGGCTTCCACATCCCAAAAATTCCTTTCAAGATGTGGTGGTTCCACCTAAGCAAGGGGCAAGGGTGTAGCATGAGGACACACATCAATGCTAGGTTATCTGGCTCAAGGGAAATGCTCCCAAAGCAAGTCAGGAATCTCTCCAGCAAGAAAAAGCCACACCACTGCAATTCCCACTTCCCTTTTCCATCCCAATTCTGCAGCCACCAACACCACAGCACCACTAGGCAGAGGGATTTATGCACCACAAGCAGCCAGCTTTCCCCAGCACATCACTATACCAGGAATGAAAATGCCACATTCCTTGTCCAAAGAGGCTGAAGGACAGCACACATTTGAAAACTACTTTTAAAATTGTTTTTATCCTGTAGTTTCTGCCTCAGCCTTGAATCCTTGTCCAGCCAGGTTCCCTTGCCATGTCTACCCCTCTCCTTCAAAAATCATCTCCATTCCCCTTCCCAAACTCTTCCAGCAATGGCACAAAATCCCTAAGCAAGAACCTCTCAATTCCCAGTGCCTCTCACTCACCTTTGGGAAACTACAATTCCACGGGACATCCGTGATCTACACCCTTTCATCAGCTATTCCAGAGAATGCACCAGAGTTTCCATTAAGAACCCAAAGAAACAAAGGTTTTTGCTTCCAGACCAACCTGGAAGCAAAAGCCTTTCTGCTCCAGCGTTAGAAGATCCGTTTTTGGCTTTTCATCCGTTTTGGCAAGAGGCTGTAGCCCAGCTTGGTGTAGCCACCACTGGCAGGCACCTTCCCACAGTGCTGGGAGCCTGATAAGTCCAAAGGTTTCTGCTATCAGACCCACTCTTCCCAGTCAGAATCACACTCGAAGACAACAGAAGGAAACAAAAAAAAAAAAAGAAGCTGTATTTTATACATATTCTCCAACAAGTAATAAGGGAGTTTCTTCTCCAACTAAATAGATGGGATAATGCACATCCACAGACCTGGATACAGCTGCTATAGCCTCAGGTGTAAGACAGTTCAGCTTCTTATTCTATGATCACAAGTCAGGAGGCTGGGGTAAAAAATAGTACACATCACAAGTGTAGAAAATTGAAGACAGCATACAAAGGGTCCCAAACATAAAGCTTTCCCCCTCTTGAGTTTGCTTTTTTCTATCTGCACTTGGAGGGAGCCATCCCAAACCTCCCAGCCACAGGCAGTCACAGCTGTGTAACAGCACAGTCTCCCAACAACTCTAAATAAATGTTCTTCCTTCAAAAGGGCTTTCAGGGATTGCTGAGTTTTGCCTTGTTACTTCAAACCACCACTGTGCTTAATGAACTCAAATACCTAAAATAATAAGCTTTACTATATACATTTAAAAATTGAGGAAAAGTTCTCTAAAAATATGGTTTTGAATTTGACAAAATGCTCCAGCTGCTCAGGTTGGAGGAACACCTCCAAGCTGTGCAGCAGCTTGTTAGCAGAGACCAAACTAAATCACCTAAAGAAGGGGAGCCAGCCCAGACCTTTCCCTGTGCTGCTGGGCTGCTCCCAAAACTGCACCCATCTCCTTCAAGGACATTGAATGTATTCCAACAGCAACAACTCAGATCTGCTGACAAGGAACCAACATCAGATGGGCCAAACACTAAAGGGGGACAGGGAACACATGCCAGGGCCAAGAACAGGGGACTGCCACATGTCAGAATCCATACAAGCGCTAATTAAAGCTAGTGTTTGCAGGGGGGAGTCAGGAATCAACATGGAAATGCCAACAGAACCTCACAAGACTGCTCCTGTCTCCTATGTGACACCAGCTACAATGCTCCCATGTGCTGCAGAAGCTAATGGCAATGCTGAGGAAAGAAGGAAGCAGCTTTTCCTTTTGGGAGAAAGCTCCTTCCTATCATTATCCATGTCCTGTCCTTCGAAATCTGTGCCACTGAAAGGGCACCACGAGCAGGTTAAGTCCTATAGAGACCTCTGAGGCAGCTGGGGCCAGCACACTCTAGAAGGTATTTTTCAGCTTGGCTGCCACAAGCACAAGAATCTCTCCAATCTTTTTCTGCCAGTTCTCTATGTCCTTGGAGACATCACACCAGAGCTCTCCGTGGCGAGGTTCAGCATTCTCACAGCGCTTCCTCACCTCTTCTTGTTGTTCCTACAGGGAAGAGAAATGACAGTTTGTCCTGGTTTGTTCCAGAAGACAGACAAAAATTGAACCCTCCCTGATTCAAACACCCTTCCGAAGATTATGATGGGGTTTGGGGTCTGTTATTTTCAAAGGAAGTCCAGAAGCAGCAAGTCTCCTGCCTGGCTGAACAAACTGGCTGAGCTGCAGGTAAGCAAGTTTTAGTTATTGCAGAGAAACTGCAGCAGAAACTTCCCGTGTATTACCACCTGCAGGAGCTGTGTCAAGTGAAAGGTCTCTCTGAAGTCAGAAGATAAACACCCCCATCATTTCAGCAGTATCAGCAGTACAAACTGCTGTAAGAGATTAGAGTTGGCTGTTCCTCTGGCTGTGTTCACATGCAACCTGTACTCAACACTTGGGAAGAAACAGCCCCAGTTACACAAACCCAGCACCACAAATCCAGCACAATCCCCTCGGAGCAAGCTTAAGTTTTACAAGAGGAAGATTCATTTCAGAGATTTTTGCATGAACCAGCAGGACTGAGGACAGCAAACAGCCTGAAACACAGCTCAGCTAATGACAGCACCTTTGAAAAGCCACCACACAGGCCTGTTCATGCTCATTCATGACCAGGCGTGACATCCAGCCTCCCCTGTGACCACACAGGCAGGAGCAGTGGCAACATGCTCAGCCCAGCACTGCAGCAATCCCAGGACTGGACAACCCCTGCCAGGCAGGGATTGCTGCTGCCTCCCCTGTTCCCAGGCACACACTCACCTCTGTGCCATGCTGGAGCTCAAATTTGTAAAAGAAGGCCCAGGCATCCCCCAGGTCAGAGTCTATCTTCACTGTGCGGTGGAACCACTCTCTGGCCTTGGTTATTTTCCGCTCGCTCCAGAACAGCCTGGTGGGAAAAGCAGAGGAGAGCTGACAAACAGCCTCACTTTAGAGGAAGATGGCAACCCACAAGAGCTCCAACTTAAAGGCTCTGCAGGCATTCCAGCTCTCTGCTCTCCAAGGAAGTAAACCACAGATTTTTAAGCAACCTGCAGACTATCCTGCCCCCGGGAAGGGAAGGGAGTGAGAGGACTGAAAAGAACATCCAGCACTTCCTATTCACTGCCCCACAGTGAGGCAGGATAACTTAGAGGATAACTCAGCCCAAGGCACAAACAGGCTCTGCTGAGAGGGGAAGCATTACTGAGCTCAACCTTTGCTGCCTCAATTGCTTTAATTTTGTTGTTCTAGATCTGATGTCCAAGAGACAGGATTACATGCCTACATCTATTCCCACTCCTTCATTTTCTTCACATTTCAAGTAAATTTTAGCATCTAACAATAAAATAACTTCTAAAACCTGGAAAGTGACTGCTGTATAGTCACATGCTCACACCTACACAGCCTGCTGGAGTGGAGTGGAGCAGACCTGTCCAGTCAGCCCCATTTTCTAACAAAAAACAAGTATGGAAGCTTTTGCACTCAAACCCCAGCCTGGCACAGCCCCACTGCTGCCATTTCATCCAGGCACTGGCCAATGCTGAAATTTCTCCCCAGTAATGAACCAGCCAAGTCAAGAGTCTCATGGTTTCACTCCTTTGCATTGAAGAGTTCATTTGAGCTATAAGGTCTTTATCAAATCA